AAATAAAATAAAATTCTTCCACAGGAACATATTGCATCATATTTCCTTATGACATGAGACCTTTTATCTTAATAAATAAACAAATAATTTTATTGTCCCCCTTTGCCTAACTGTTGGATGCTTCCATATGAAGTGAATGAGTAAGTGTCAGGCTCCTTGGGCCAGATGAAACTGCAGAGGCTTTGGATTTACGGGCTTGCTGGTGAGTGGTATCTCCTGAACACCGGCTGTTTTATTCAGAGCTGCTGCAGGTATGGTGAAGAATGCCCGGCATGCGTAAGGACAAGCATAAAGTGCGTAAGAAGCTGTCACACCCACAATAGGCATATTTGTTGAGGCTCTTGTGAGAAGGGAAGAAGACTAAAATGGAAGCAAAATTGTCTTTCCTGTCCTTCTGTTATGACTCATGGGAGCTGCTTTTGTGCTCGATACTCTTATAATCTGCTTATTTGTCACTGTGGTCTTAGAAGCATCCTGCTCAGCTCCCACTCTTCTTGAGTTGGCAACAGCTGTTAGAGCAGCTCATAAATCCTGCGTTCTAACTCTCACAAGTGAGTTCAGTTCTTACATTCAGATAAGCTGAATTTGGTTTTGAATCTGTACAAGAAAGAGCACTCAGAACACAATAAAACAATCATATTTGATGTCCTGGTCTCCAACCTAATTTTTCTTTTAGGGATTTATCCAAAGAGGTATGTCAAATAGTTTGGAGCTGGTTCAACACTTTTCCTAGCATAGTGCTTGCTTTGGGATGATAGCTGTGTTCAGGTTCTTTTTATTTTTTGATTTTTTTTCACCAGTCTCCTGCCATGGAGGTGAAGTGTTTGCTTTTTCGGCCAGTGATATGAAGATGACATCCCTTGATTTGTAACACATCCAGATGAGTTGGCAGTTTTCTCTGTATCAACAGCTATTTAAAAACACCACCACCAACAACAGTGAAGTCAAGTTCTAATGATGATGTTAGCAATGTTAATAAAAGCTTGCTGGAGCTGAACTTTAAAAACCTCTGAGGTGGTGTAAGCAACCTGTATTTTGCTTTTACATAATTTGTTCAGCTTGACTGTTGTCTTAATTTTGTATTTATTTTTGCTAGCTGTGCTTAAATTTTTTACAAGCAGAGGAGGCTAGATTGAAGCTTAGAGCATTAAAAATGGCAAACTTGTTTAGTTATGGGATCTTGTTGCTTTTAATCTTTTCTTCAGCTTTTTATTTTTTTATTTTTAAACTTTCACATTGTGTATTTTTTTCCATGTTATGAAATGGCTCTTCCTCCTGTACCTTGTCCTATTAGAAGGTCTATTGTATCTTCATGAAATGGAGAAACAAGTGGTAGCCTTTTTCTTCCAAAGGGAGGAGTTAGACCAGCAACACTGCACTAATAGTATGGCCGTATTGCTTACTCTCTCCATTCTTGAAATCAGAATATTACTACCAGCTTCCTACTTAAAACTGTTCAAATGCTGAATTTATTCTTGGTAATCTGTAACAGATGTCATATAGTACTCCTGGCACATTCTTGTGGATCAATACATTCAGAAAAATCCTGAGAAATAAAACTGCACCTCTAATGGGGAGGGGAAGGAAGAGCTGGTGTTAGTAGTGATACATCATGACTAATAGAGCCAGGTAAAGCTTCCTTTTGTGTGTACACGCTGTCTGACACAAAGCATGCCAGGGTCTGCATGAATGCGTGACCATCAGAGACGGATACTTACATGCTGTAAGTTGTTTTACAAGGGTTTCACCCCCCTGTTTTGCTAGTGAACAGAGGAAAATGTTCCGTAAACAGATTAAAAATATTGTTTACTTTTTTTTTGTTTTAGGAAAGCAAGAAAGGTGTTTGCTTACCAGCAAGAAGCTTGTTTAAAAGCTTGTTCAAAATCTATTGGGGAAGAGCTAGTTTTTTGTTTTTTTTAGTTGCTTTAATTTAAATCTGCGTTATGTAAAACCAGCTGGTGCTTCTTTATTTCACGGCGTTTCGGTTTGCTGACTTGGCTGTAGGTGTTGTAGAGCACTGTGATAGCACTGTGATAGCACTGAGACCATCTCAGAGACCTTCTGGTTTAGGTCAGGAGTCACCTCAGGAAGGTGTGCAAGGAGATGAGCTCTGCTTCTCTGGTGCTGGAGAGAGGAGGAACAGCCTCACATCTTGTGCTGCGAGGCTTGTGATGGAGCCAGCAGGAGACTTCCTAAAACAGACCTGTGCGCTGCTCCGTGCGAAGAATGAAGCTGTGGTTGCTATTAATAAGGTTTTCCTTGCTATTTCCAGTGTTCAGCTGCTTGAAAGAATCCAGTCTGTTTTCACTAAGCCGCAGAATGAAGTGACTCCTGCTATGGAAAAAAACTTGAAATTACTGTTTTGGTTAAAACTTAATTTCTATTTTTTATTTTTGAGAGAGTAACTGTAATAAGAAGACTGCTGGCAAGGTTCATGGAGTTTGGGTTTTTGTATTACCAGATTTCCTGCAAGAATAGTGATTTTTTTTTTAATTTATTTATTTTTAAAGTCTTAACAAGGCCAGCACCTTTCAGAAAGCAGAATGATCCCAGGAAGTTCAATGGGTGCTGTCATGGAGCAAGTATTTTTAGCAGCAGGCAGAGGCTGAAATATTCATAGTGATTATTTTCAGTCTTTCAGGAGCTTTCAGTGGCAAAGATCTTAACCAAGTGTGTGTCTCCTGTCATGAGGTAGCTGGGGTTGTTCCTCTGAGAGAAAATGAGGGGAGCATTACGGGCAGCTCTTCTCTGGCCTGGTTATAGGACAAAGCTGAGCTTCGTGTGTGCAATACACAAATAAGGCCTGCTTTCCATGCCTCTCAGTTACACTAAACAACACTTGAGCAGTGGAGTAGGAAGGAATAAGGTGGGCCCAGCCAGCCTGGATTTACCACTGTCGGGGGAGAGACGAGTTTGAGCTAGTGCCTGGCTTGAGCTGTGTCACCAAGTCGGGGCACAAAGTACCGGCCTGTGGATCCTTTCTGCTGCGTGTGCCATTTCACTTCATTAGCAGTCCTGCTCACTTCAGGATGAGCTTTCCACAAAGTGCTTTCAGCAGGGGAATACATGGTGGTGAGACTGGGAGTAGTGCAGAAGAGGCAGGCCGCTCACGTGGCCTTTTCTTCTGGGAGTTCCCCAGTACGAGCAGTTATATCAGCGGTCTGTCACGGTGCTGCTCGGGTAGAATCCGAGAAACTGGTTTGTGTGCTTCCTTGGGACAGTAAGACTGCATCACTGCTGGTGGGTGGACATTGAGACGTACCTGTCAGACTCCTGCCTTTCAGGAAGGGTAGGCATGCTGCCCTAGATAACATGCGGTGTAAGGAGCCAGCCGCCTTCCTGCCGCCCTAAATTCCCCCTGAAAGAAAAGGGAAGAAGATGTGGTGGCAGGAGAGGGAGGCACACAGCACTGTGTTGCAGGGTGAAAGGGTAGCCGATTGCAGATCTAGCCTTTATTCCCAGTAAAAATACCAAAAAGATCCCTACTGAAGACACTTGCAGGAATCTTTATTTATATAAGTGTGGATCACTAGAGGCTTATGTAGTTTAAAGTAATTTCTGAGAATTTCAGAAATGATGAATGTGGGGAGAGGAACCTGCATTGAAAAAGAAGAGGGTATTTTATAAACCAGGCAAGCTTAGAAAAAAAAATGATTGATTAAAACAGTAAATCAATCACTGAAATAATCCATTAGGGACTGGGTAACTCTTACAACCAACCAGCCATCCCTTTTGATTGAGATGTCGCTGCTTTATTTCCCAAGTTTGTTTCCAAAATACTGGCTTGGTTAGCTCTGGAGTTGCTTTTGAAATACTAACAGCAACAAAAAAATAACTCCCTTTGTCTTGTTCGGGCTAGCATCATTGATTTCTTTCCACTATTGCGTTGTCCTTTTTTATTATACTTGACTGGGTCAACACAAGGCTTTTGGCCAGCACCCACAGCTTACCGTAAAATAACAATGAGACTTCCTCTTCGTCTAAGCCAAACCCAATGTCATTAGCCCGTGCTTGTTCATTACACATAAGTTAATTAGGTAAATTCACCTCTATCCTGCCATCTTGTTCCTTATGAGTACTCCTGTTCTCAGATCACTGAAGTGTAAAAATCTCCTATTGTCATTTCACAGTGTAACTATTAGTTTTTTTTCCCTATTTTAGGCCATGGGATATTTGCCTTAAGATTAGGGGCAAAAAAGCAGTTTGAATTGGCAAAAACAAACCTAGATGTTTCATTTGTTAAACTTCTATTTGTTAAACTTCTACAGGAGGTACGAATGGACTCTAAAACGAAGAGACAGAAAATACTTTGTTGATTTCCCTGTATATAGTTGCTTGATCTAACCTATGGCTCCTTCCATGTTTGAAAAACACTAGGGGAGGGTGGGAAATCTGTGAAAAAAATTTACTTCTTACTACACCTCCATTAAATGAATTGATAGAGGAAATAATTTTCTAGAACTGATTGCTAGTCAGTCTAACAAACAGTTTCCTTGAATTTTTTAAGCAATCATAGGAAATAATAGCAGGATGCTTCCTGTTGTTTAGTGTCCTTTGTGCCTTATTGTTTTTGCTATTACAGAGGACAAATAATAAAGTGGTTAAAACCAACTTGTTTTTGTAACTGTCTGTCAATGTAAAATGAAGTGAGAACATAGGTAATTAAAGGAGTATTTTTTGTTCACTGAGGTAGTTCTATCAACATCTTGGCTTGCTTCTGTCTTACATAATTTTTTTTTTCTACAAGTTATTATTTTAATAGCCACAGTACTTTTACAAAGTACTTTTACACAGTACAGATTACAAAGCTAGCTGTTCTCAGATAGCAATGTGTATCATGGATTGAATGTGTAAGTTCTATTGACTGTGAAAAGTGGAAGTAAATTGTCTGCTACCATTAATGTTGGACAATAGTGTTTTGATATATATAAATCACTACTATATTTACTGAAATAAAACAAGTTACTTAGTATACTATTTCCTCTTTTTTCCCCCTCCAGGAAGATACTGACTGTCTAGAAATTAGGAAAGCGTGTAAGAAGTCCAGTTGATCAAGGTGGATTTTTTTTCCCAAGAGTCTTTTCACAATTGCCTTTTGCAAGACATTTGGACGCTCCCCATTGTGCCATGTTTTGTGGCTCTTACTGTAAGAAGAATTTGTCTTGATGAAGATTCCTAACATTGGTAATGTGATGAATAAATTTGAGATCCTTGGGGTTGTAGGTGAAGGTAAGTAGTATCTTTATAAAAATTCTAATATGTTTTTTATTGAGATATGATTTAGTCCTTTTGATGATAAGAATTTTTCATTTGCAAAATACTGCTTTTATGCAAATGTTAAGAAATATTCGTTTATTCTGTAGAGCTCCTAATTTCCATCTCAGATTGAAGGAAATGTTTGGAAGACAAAAAAAAAAAAAAGGGGGGGAGGAGAAATGGGACAGTTTTGTTTAAGTTTATTGTATTAATCTCTTAAATGATACAGGATAGATGTAAATTATCCAACTTATTAGTATATTTAAAAATAATTTTAGTGTTTTAAAACCCATTTACTTTGAAGCCTTTTTAATTTTCAGTGCACAAAAATTTGGTAAGGTGCAAGTTTAGGATGGTACTGGGAACAGTATTATTTCTGCAGCCTGGAGATGGCTGAAGATCTGTATTTTCCTGATTATTTCTGATTTGAGATGATTTTCTGATTTGCTCCTATTTTCTTTGTTTCAGGAGCCTATGGCGTTGTACTTAAATGCAGACACAAGGTAAGTAAATTGCTTTAAGTCAGAGATAAATGTTGGTGTTTGGGTGAAACAATGACTTCTCATGAGAACTGAGGTGTTGCTATGCATTAGATGTGTTGCAATTGGGCAGGACTTTTGCAGTCAGTTATTCAGATTTTTAATTGCAGTACTGTCGGAGGAAACAGCTATATAGAGTACCAAAACCCATTTTTTTTTTTTTTTAGCATTTAATATTTGCCTGAAATCTTTGAAGTATCAGTAATGTTTCACTCATCTCAACTAAGAAAGTTTTCTTAAAAATAAAATTGGAGTGCAGTTTACTCTGTCTCAATTTGAATATTGAATTAATTTTCCAATACTGCTATATGAGCACACACTCCTCTTGGGGAGGAGGGGGATCTACAAGTCATTTCCACAGCTGTTGCTGGACAATTAAAATGAAGTAAGAAAGCAGTCTACTTCTATGCTTGTTGAATTTAATCTGGAAGAAAATGAAGTGGGGTTTGTTTGTTTGTTTGTTTGTTGTTTTAAAGGAGGGGGTAGGGTGGAACCTTTTTCAGACAAAAGGGAATTCTGGCAAATTATCAATGCTATCAGAAGTGTTGTATAAGTTGGATATATCTGTACCTTCTGCTCATCAGTAAGGACCTAGTTTGCTGTCTTTGGAACTGCCGTGTAGTCATAATAAAATACCTTTTACTTCCCTAAAGCAAAACATTCCTGAATCATAGAATGATTCATTTGTAACGACCCAAGAATACATAAAAGTTTTTTTTATGTATTCGTACCTTGTTCTAGAAAACGTTAACACTGCAGAGGACCTACATTCCTGCAGTGGCTTTTATCACATAAACAAGTTCTTTTGCACAGGAAATGTAGTTATATTTGGAGTGGCTTACATTGTTGTACTGAGAATACAGAGCTGGGGCCTTGCTATGCAATAAGGTTTACCTACCCTTTTAGAACAATTTTTAGAAAGTAATTGTAGTTGTTTTTTTACTTGTTTTGTTTCGTTTTTTTTTAACTTCTGAGATTTTTAGAATACCACATGGTAAGATAATCATCTCTTACCTTCGGTAAAACCAAGGTAGAGCTTTGTGGTTACATTCTTACCTAGTGTATATTAACAGTGGCTATAAAAATAAATAATAATAATAATAAAAAAAAAATGATTAAAATGAGTGATAAACATTGTTCTGACTTGGATATGGATACCTTACAGTATGCCAGATGACCAGAGAGGAATGGTTTTGTGTTAGCAGTGGGAGGTGCTTCTTCATACAGCCAGTGAAAAAATGCTGAATTTCATTGAAGGATCTCATTTTTTGGGTAGTTGCTGCAGCATTTTTTCTGCAACTTCAAACTTAATTGAAACAACATTGGTACTCTAAAACAGACTGTTAGTTATTAACATTTCTAGCAAGTGTGTTTGCTAAGACGAAGGATTTCCAATATTTTAAGCTCACTGAATTATGATTTTTACTTAAGTCAAGCCCTTCCCCCAGTCTCTAAAAGCAGACGAGTCTAGGGGCTATCTGTTTTAGTGAAAAAGAATATCAGAAAATTAAACTTGGATACTTGGATATGTCTCTCTTTCCCCTGGACTTCCTCTGGCTGATGCTCATCTTTACTTTTTCCTATTATACATTTGCAAATATTGAGAGGGACTTGTCCTGAGCTATTTTGCAAGGTACAGCACAAATACATAATGCCTGCTGCATTATGAAAAAATAAAAGAAGACAAAACGTATTGCAGGGTGATATATGTAATTGTTCTCCTTGATCAAGAACTGTTTTTGTATACAAGTAGGAAAGTTATATTAAAAAATACGTAAGCGTTCACTTTCGTGCAGCCTTAACATAATTACCTGCAAATGCAAGGGTATGTTTTGTTTTATTTTTACTGTTTCACTGCTGATCGGCTTTGCTTAAAAATAATGTTCTTTTTTAAGTGGTTCTTCCCCACGATCTGTCTGCAGGTAGCACAGTTAATTTTGAGTGCCTTTTCAGCGCCACGTAAGAAACCCACACTGGAACATCATCTAGTTCTTGTGCTTTCTGGATTTTTTTTTTAAGCTGTATTGTGTATATGAGGCCATCCTTGGTCATGTTCCCTCAGCATATACTGCTTTTCTTTTTGTACAAAGCTAACAATTACGTTTAAGAATTTGAATGCAGAAGTATTTATATTCATCTTTACAAACAGTGGTAATATTCAAGCAGCAGATTTTCAACGACTAAGTCAACTCATTTCCATTGTGTTGGTGAGAGGGTAAAATTTGCATGAAATGAGGAGCTGGTCCTTAATTGCATCAATTTTTGCAACATAATACCGTAGTGCTTCAATAAATATGTAGCTTTTTGTACCCGTACATTTCGGTGGCATTAATAAATGGATATAAGTTGGAGGGAATGGACTAAGGAACAAATACCTTGTCATTATTATATGACTTTTTTTCTTTGATAAGGGAACATTATCAGGAAAGCTAGAGTAGCTCCTCTAGAATGACTGTGTTTACATTATTATATAGCATATTTTTATTACAAATTCTTTATTGCTACTTGTGCATAGCGGTTATTTATCTATTTTTTTCCTGACATGAAGCTAATACAAATAATGCTAATGCTAGGATAAAGCAGATCCGATGTTCTGAGAAGCTTTCTTATGAGAAGACATTTCATAAAGAAATATACAGGAATATATTTGAAAACACAAAATGCATTTTATTCTCATGAAAAAATAGTAAAATACTCTGTCCCGGCTAATTTACTGTATATCATCTGTCCTTTCTGAAAAGAAAAACAATTTGAACAGTTCAGCAGTGTCAGAGATCATGGCTAAGGAAACGAGTCTTTGTTCATGTTTAAGAATGGTAGGTATGTCTTTTAAATAAAACCACCATCCCCTTTTCACTATACGATGTAAACTTGCAGCTTCGTGCAGGGTTATCCTTAATACCCTGCCCACCCCAATAATCCTTATTAGGGTCTTAAGCACAAAGCATTCGGAGAAGTCTGATATCAGTATATGGAGCTAATAGAACAACGCTCTGGCTTAAAATCAATAAAATGATGGGACGGTGCTGTAGGAAAGCTATAGGATACCCAAAGATGAACACACTAAGAAATGAAGCTGAGGGGGGGGAAAGTTAGCTTAGATGTAGTTGTGAAAGGGGAATGTATAAATACACCAGGAGATAATAAACTGTGTATGTAGGAGAGAACGTTGAAAACTATAGCTGTAAGTAGCAGGAGTTTGTAGAAATGGGGTTAATACATCCTTGGACCACTGAGAAAAGTGGATGGATATGATGTCCAGGTAGACAAGGTCGTAACGTTGTTCTTCATTAGTGAGACAATTTGCCATGGGGTCAGGCTGGAGAGGAAGAAGGATTTGAACTTCTGGGGGTCAATTCAGAGATATTAATATGGCATGTCTAGCTTGCAAGTATTGATTCTAACTTCTGCTTTAGTTCTCATCCGCAGAACGTGCGTAAGTGTTTTATCAATGTTCACTTGAATTTTCATCCAGATGCAGTTCTGCAAGAAATATGGACATTTTGTCTTCAGAGCACGACTTCATTACTGTCCAGTAAATAAGGAGTAGACTGCATCTTAAGAAACAAGCACAAAACACCTAGATCCCTAAAACTGATCCCTCTAAGGCAGGAGAAAAACACTGAAAATATGCCTAGGGGAATTTGCCTCCCCCAAACCAATGTGCTCTGGGGACAAGGCAGGAGGGTGTGCAGGAAGGGATGTGGTAACATGAATTTTCTAAAAGCCTGCTAGAATTTTATTGAGTCTCCCAGCCTTGTTCATTCCCTTGCTATGTGCTGTGTGTTTACAGAGTCTTTGGAGCCTGAGGGGGTGCAGTTTAATGATTTAGAAATGTGATGCCAGCTCTTCTTGCATGTACAACATCTCCTGCCTGATAAGATGTTTTTCTGGTCTTTCATTTTAGAAGCGTATCTGGTTTTGGTTGTTCTCTATTGTATTTGAGATATTTTTATACCTTCTTCTTTAAGGTAAACATCACTGAATTCGCTTATTAAAAACAAGTGAAAAGAAACCTTAGTTTATAGAATCACTTGGCTACTTCAGTGCCATAAAGAATAATGACAAATAACCTTTTTAGTAGGTTTAATACATAAAGGCATTTTCATCTTTACCTGATATTTAATTTTGTCCTGTTTGAGCCCTCACTAATACTGTTATTGTCTTCAGACAAATTTTTTGCATGTCTCAGAATATCCTAAAAATATTTACACAGCTTCTTAAGAAACCTGCAGCCTAGTCATTCAAAAATATAATGGATATGTTTATGGGACATAATCACTAAATCTCACTTGAGTACCTCAGCTCTTTCCATGTCTTCTAGCATTACTGAACAGCAGGGTCACAGGTTCCTTGGCCTTCCCTTTGCTTTACCTATTAAAACCCTTTACTTTGCCATCTGCATTTACAGATTTTCAGCTGGTCTGAGCTTTGGCTTTTGAATTACAACCCAGGCACGCTGCAGGAAAGTTTCTTTGTGCCTCCAGGTAGCTCATCTCTGCTTCCGTGTTGTGTGCACTACTTCTTTGTGTTGGAGCTCCGCCAGGAATTCCCTGTACACCAGTGCTGGCCAACTCGAGACAATTTTCCCAGTGTTTTGCATGTTGGAGTGGGCTTTTCCTGTGCTTTGAGGAAGTCTCCCTTGAAGAACAGCCAGCTCTCCTAGACTCCTTTACTGTTTAAGGCTGTCTCTAAGCAGATCCTTGAATAAGAGTAAATATTTTTGGTCTTGAATCTTGAATAAGGATAAAACCTTTTGAAGGTCCCGGGTTGTAATTCTGCTGTTTTTCTTGTTCAGTTCTTCCAGTATCTTGAATTCCCCTATATCACGGCATTTGACATCAGGGATGCTGTTCCCTTGTAACCCCAGTGAGAAAGGCACTTGTGCTCTGTATAGTACCATTTAAAATGGTATTTATTAAGCCTAACCATGTAAAGAAAGTGAGAATAATAGAGACAATTTT